TGCGGTTAGCGTTGCGTATCTTGCGGCCGCACTCGCTCACTCTCACTGTCTCACTGTCTCACTGTCTCACTGTCTCACTGTCTCTCTCTCTCTCTCATCTCTCTCATCTCTCTCATCTCTCTCATCTCTCTCATCTCTCTCATCTCTCTCATCTCTCTCATCTCTCTCATCTCTCTCATCTCTCTCATCTCTTTCTCATCTCTCTCATCTCTCTCTCCTCTCTCTCTCTCTCTCCTCTCTGTCTCTCGTCTTTCCGTCTCTCTTCTCTCTCTTCTCTCGCAGGAGAATCCGGGCAAAGAGCCACATATAAAGGACTCTTCACCCCTGCCTCCAAAAAGAGCGCCGTGTTTTTTCCTACCTCGCTGCCCTCCACTTTCCCATTCTGGAGCGCTAGCTTTCGCCCCCCCCCCCTTGGCCTCAAGTTTCTCAGCTGGAGATGGTCCCCCACGAAAAATCAGGGCTGTAAATTGATTACAGTTTGCACTGGGGGAAGTTACAGATTTGGTCAAAGCTATCCCTTTGCCCCAGAATCCTCACAAGGACCCACCAACTCAACACTCTTTGTTCCAATCGTTCTGGGAGTTGAACTGGTTTATGTTTAAAACATATGCTGCTTTATGGTTCTGCAAATATGCCGGAAAGAGAATCACTTACCAAATGCAAGATGTTTGTAACTTGATGGCACACGTTTGGAGAACATGTCCTTCCATGCAGGTGCCATTGCTCCACTTCCACGAGCGCTACCAGGACAGCACCAAAAACCCCGCGTCCTCCGCGCGGAGGACACGCGCGCGCGCGCGCCTTCGCCGGGCGGGCGAGGACACGGCGCGGTTGACCTGGTCCTTCCGGTACCATGACCACTTCCATGGGCCCGACGTGTTAAGCTCCTTGGGACTGCCGGGCGAGACGAAGCGAAACAAGCGTTCTGGCCCAAAAACGAGTACGTGAACAGGGATAGGGGGGCCAGGAGGATCTGAGACGTGGTTTATATAATAATCAATTACTTTTTGGCATTCTAAACAAACTGTTTCAATTACTTTTTGCATTGTTTTCACTGTTTCTTTGGCATTCTGATCCGGTTTTGGTGTTGGGAGAGAGGCTCAATCTGTCTTTCGGCACCGAGTCTCTCTCCTTCCCTTCGTGGCTTCGATCGGCTGAAGCCAGTTGCCAATGGGCCTTTGTTGCTCGCTCGCTGAACGGCATGTACCTTGGTGAAGGGCTCACTACAGCTGTTTTACATTTAGGCTGAGTACTGCTACCTCCCTGGAGATACGATCGAATTTTTCGCTCGGCCGGCAGCCGCAATCAAAGAAAACCGCCGTGGGTTGTGATGCGGCACTTGGTTGCTTCCCAAGTCATATACCCTGGGGCTCCAGTCGTGCCTCCTCAGATGGTATGGACCCTCCTGACAGCCCCAGTCCCACCTTAGACGGTACGACGAAACGAGCTGTCGGGATATAGAGTCCATGCGGACCATGGCATTGGGGGACCGGTTCGATGAACAGAACAGACGCCCCCCCAGACATGGTCAAGCTACAAGATGCTAGAAGGGTGGTGGTCTGGGGTTTGCGGCTTCTTGACGCACTCCAGCTTCAGTGAGTTCAAGCCCAGGCGTTCCTCACAAGATCTTCCAATTCTGGAGGAACGCCAGCAGATTTGAAGGGAGCTAACATAGCCCCCAAGCGTTATATCAGGACATCTTCCAATTCCGTTCATTCTTGCTTCTGGATCTTCCAATTCCGTTCATTCTTGCTTCTGGATTGTTGAGATGTGGTATACGTGTGTACACTCACCTGTGGGTGAGTGTGTCAGTGCAATTTTCGCACGAACCCCCCAGAGTGGTCCCCAGAGTTTCTGCGCCAAGCCTTCCTGTGCACGAGCTCAAGGCCCCTTTCGCGTGGGAGCCACTCGCGTGGAGGACCTCTCAAGTTTGAGCAGCGGGACGGCGGGGGCAGGATGTGGGTTGAAGAAGCTGGGCTTAGCAGCTTAACCAAGCTGCTGAAAGGGAAATCACAACTTCGGCATCTAAAAGATGCTGAAAGATGGCTAGATCAGCCGTGCAGGTGGTTTCTAGGCCGAACAACAAATGGAAACTTAGTGGGTCCGATTGGCAAGCCGCATCAAGCCGCCATGCTTGGAGATGAACATCTCAGCATGAATTCAATGGTTTCAACATGACTGAGGGTGTAGGCAGTGTAGGCATGCGGATGGAAAGCAGTTGGTGGACGGGTGTGAAATCAAGCCGGAGGACTTTTGTGATGTGCTATTTCAGAACCGAAGAGAGTGCTGAGCTGGGTGTGGTTCCTGCTAAAGTCACTGCCTGCCAGCTAACCTGTCAGAAACCTTGTTACAGTTTTAAAGTCCGGTGTCTTTATGTTGAACCTCGTGTCGCAAAAATACTGTAGAAAAAGCTCTAGTGGGTTGCCAGGCCCTGTTGAAGCCAAAGCTGCTTGGTGGATCATGAAATTTGATGAAACTGCATGTCCTAGGCATGTTCTTTCTTTGGTGCACCAAGATCATCCGTGTCACATTTTCTGCTCAAGCACAATATCACAAGACCAATCAAGACCCATCGGTCGTGTGCTTTGTTCTTCGGGAGAGCCAGCGCAGGAGGCGCACAACTCCAAGTTTCTCCATCCACACCTCGCCTTTTTCCCGGCCAAGAGTGCTACACCGAGGCTGAGGCGCAGAGAAGAGTAGAGGCAAGCCTCAATTAATTACGCAGACTACCAGTGATCCTTCACCAATCTTCACCTTTTTCTAGAATTCTCAAGAAGCCAATAATTAATTCAATTAGCAGCTTGCTTCTTGCAGACTTCATCAATCAACCACTCGTCTTGTGCAGACTTATATAATCCAAAGGGGGCACCTCACGCCATTGGACTGGCTCACGCCACCTTTCGTCCATAGGCATTGGATGCTCGAGGAGCACTTCTGCGGATGTTTTGTGGAGGGCAGTGGTGCTGGCCAGACTTTCGCTTGCTGTGTTCTTGTGGAGGTGCTGAAGGGGAATAAAATTCCTGAAAGGCCAGCAGAGGCCCAGAATGACTACATGCGAACCAAAGAAAAGGTCTTCCTCAGTGAAGGTCGACTGTCAGTGAGTTTACCAAGAATGAAACGAAGCTCCCAAAGGATTGCAGCACATGCAGGAGTCCTAAAGGATGTTGGATAAATCTCAGCTCATTTCTCAGCTCATTTCAGGTTCCACAGACTGAAGAAGCGCTCGCCTCTGATGTGTTTCCCTTGGCCGGTTTCACCTGGGCCACTGATTGGATCTTTTTCCGGGCCTTGCGTCCTGCGTCATGGGTCGTCGCCGACCCCAGGACGTCTTCACGCAGTGGACGGGCCCGGACGATCGACGGCCCTTGCTGCGGCAGCTCGGAGTCAAAGAGCGGGGGCTGGAGATGTGGGTGGTTGATTGGGTGGTTGTTGCTTGTATGGGTGGGTGGGTGGGTTGGTTGGTTGGTTGGTGGGTGGGTGGGTGGGTGGGCGGGTTGGTTGGTTGGTTGGTTGGTTGCTGATGGTTATATGGTTGCTTGCTGTTCGTAAGGCCAACGGTTGGCTGCCTTGTTTTTGCTGGGCTCTTAGGCATGCCTTGGAATTCGCCGGACATGGATGGACCTCGGGTGAGGGGCTGTAGGGCGGACATCCCGGTGAAGAAGGCCACAAGTGCAGAATTATACCAACGGATTATAGTGGGTTGAGAGTAGATGGCACAATCCCCAAGTTAGGTGGTTGATATGGACCCTTTTTTACAAGACATCTTGAGGTGCCAGTGCCATCTACTCTTAATCCACTGTACTGTCTTAAGTATCGCTACACATCTTCCAGGACCTTCAGCGCGACCATTGGAGATCCCGGGGCGAGGTCACGAACAGGCTTGCTCCAAAGAGGTCACGAACGGCTCAGGTCCTGCTTAAGGATGCCTTGAACGGTCTTGATGCTGTTTTAGATGCGTTGGGCAACCAAAGTCAGCATCCAATGGTCCAATCTCCTGTCTCGGTTTCCACTTTCACTTGCGGATGCGGCGATGATGTCACCGTTCGCCAGTCACCTTGAGTACCATCGGTCACCTACCAAGCCTTGTACCAAGGCATGCACTGTGCCCCCTGTTCTCCACTGCTTTGAGAGACCTACCCGACCCAGTTGCAGGTTCTTGACCCGAGCCGCAGCCTTCCTCTTTGCTGCCACATGAGCGGGAAAGAGAAAATGGCCGGACTTGTTTGTGAGTGTGCTGCCGGACTTGAGTTTGAGTCAGCGCCAGGCTCTCACGGTTTCTGGACAACCATTGCGAGGAACTAACTGCTGGATCGTGCCGCACTTGTCCACTCACCATCCCACTGGAGAATTGAACGGAGTCTTCTTTTTGGGAGGCGAAGTGGCTGCGCCGTGCAAGACATGTTTAAGAAGCCGGACGGAGAAAGACAGCACTTCAGCCATCTTGCCAATAGCCTCCCTTTGGGCTCTCAGCAGATTTCTCCGACCGTGTGGACACACCCGTCCGGCCGGTGCGGCTGGGTCGGGAGGCGGAGCCACCGGTCATGTGGAATGAGCCTCAGCTGCCACGAGCGAGGCCCAGCAACCGCGGCACGTGAAACAGCGTCGGAGGTCGGCGGTCGGCATGATTGACTGTAAGAAGGAGTTAGTTGGTTTGTAATTATATGTCACCTAGCCTGGGACCTCAGCAAGCAGATGCCAAGCTGATCAAAGAAGCTTGCATTCATGCATGATATGAGCGGCCTCGTTTTCTGAAAGACAGACGTGTCGTCCTTCTATAGACTTTCTAGGAGATTGGGACCACTCTGCAACGTGGCTTCCATCACAGCAGATACCCTCTCTCCAACATGGACGTGGAAAGCATCCACCCCGGACGTCACCCCTCTGTCAGTCAGGGAGCGCACAAATTCTGCACTGTCCTGCAGGCATCGCGCCAAACTCGTCAATCACGCGCCGAGCCTCCTTCGCCCAAGAATCTTGTACTGCTGGAAATTGGTGAGTTGCTCCTTTTTTTTGACTCTCACCTGGGTAAAGGGTTGTGGACAGCCGCCCCAAGCTGCCTTTATTGCCCTCAGGACTGGCGAAGCGCATTGCTTTCCGTGGAGCAGCTGTTCGGTCTGGAGCAGTGTTTGGTGCCATGCACGGCCCTGATGAATTCCTGTGCCTTGGACCATGTTGGGCCCATCCCATGTCCGCTATATAGATGCAGTTTATTGTGATGGTCGTTTTAGCTTTCTGATCCCGGCTGCCCATTCCTCCGTGATGGACGCCCATCTGATTGAGGGCGCAAAAGGAACCATCACTAAGGCCTAAAGGCCTCGCAGTGGGCACACACCTTGGAACTCTTCGGGCTTTTGGCCAAGCGCCGTGTCGCCTGCGACACGGTGTCTTTGAAACCTGGATGATGTGCGACACGGTAGAACACCGTGCAGTGGGGTGGGTGGGGTGATTTGCTCACATTGGGGACCCTATTTGCATTGGAAGTTATGGTGGTCACATAGCTTGCGGTCGATGACCATTTTCAGCGGACGCCTCAAGGGTGCCAATTGGGCTTCTCGCTGTTGTTGCTTCCGCGATGCTCCCCTCACATATCCCAGGAATGTGGCGGTGAAGGCGTTGGCTGAGGGCCGACATTGGGAGAGAGCCTTTGCTGCCGTGGCCATTGCGAACAAGGCCAAGCTACGGGCTGATGCCATCAGCTACAGTGTTCCTGTGAGGGGCAAACTTGATCTACACTCCCTGAAAAAATCACGGAAGTGGACAAAGACCGTAATGACCTCTTTGATGATGGTTTTCCTCTTCCATTATTATTTCAGGGAGTGTAAAAGTAAAAGCAGTTCTTTGTTATTTTGTTCAAACTGGTTCTGAGCAGGGATTTGGGGAAGCACCCTCCAACGGAGACTTCTGAATGGATTCCTATCATACCATCATTCCCTACAAGTCGCACCAGCCGGTTGTGTGGTAGCGGTAGATCAGCTTGGAATTCACTTCGATCGAAGATCCCCCATCGATCCCTGTCACCCTGACGGCCATTCGATTCTCTCCGGGAAATGGCTTGAAGGCAAAGCGCCGACCCACCCCATGCAAACAGCAGCGAGGGGCCGATGTTGAGTGTTACGCCCGGGAAAATTGGAACCTGAAAGTTGACTTTTGGAAGACTCTTTCCCTCTACAACAACCCAGTGGTTTTCAGGTTCCATGTTAATTTTCCTGGGTGTATAAAGGTTTAATCACTGTAAACCAGCATCCCGGTTAACCGAGATGTCCCGTTTGCCGGCTGACCACCGTTGCGAGCGCCGACCTCACTGAGGCCATCCTTAGCTCGAGCAACCTCACGTGGCTCAACGCTTTGCGGCTCCTGGACTGCATGGCCCACTCTGCGGTGCAGAAGGATCAAGTGTTGCAGGCCGCGGTGGTGTCCTGGTGCGGCAAGGCAGCGCGTGGCCTGGTCATAAAGCTGCCTTGATCGTGCCGTGCTACCTTCATCATGTTGTCAGGGATGTTGGCAGGACCAGGAGGAAGAAGGATGAGTTTGGTTGTGTTTGAGTTTTGTCGTTTGTTGGATCTCCAGTCAATTGGCCTGGCCAGAAACAGCTGCTGATTCTTCCAATGAATTTGATTGATTCAGACCTGTCATCTATAGGGCTACCTTTCAGGAGAATCATGGCTAGGGATACGGAAAGCCACAGGTTCGTTCATTATTAAACGCGAGGTTGGCAAGAGGCTGCCGAGCTCTTGAAAGACGCAGGCTTGGAGACCAGCTTGCTTTGCAGCAATGCGGCTTTGCAAGCCGCTTGGCCACATTTGACATATGAGGTGATGCTTTCTCGGTGCGTTTGCTGTTCATGCCCTTGTGCCAATCCAAGAAAAGGGCAGTGGCCAAGATGGCCGGCTAAGGGCAATTATTCATTCGATAGCTGCGCATCTCTGGGATGATGCCGAGTAGCCCTCTGAATATCTCTGACTCTAAATACACTTCTCTATCGGCAAGCATATATATATATATATATGCATCGCATATTTCCAGAGCTGTTGGTGGGGAACTGGGCGCCCAGTTCATTGACATCCCAGTTCTCCAACTGGGAAGTGCTTCTGATTTGGCAGCCTTCGGTCACAAGGCTACCCTGCAAGTTCCCAGATACGTATATAAGTGGAACCTGGAAAAAAACATGATGCTGTCCTCTTGCAAGATCCAGATAACGAGATATGCCGTGCAGAAATTTCAGATGCAAGTTGTGCATTGAATATCTTCAATATGACTCGATATGAGACATTCAGAGGATAGACAAAGAAAGAATCAACTGCATTTTTCAAGGCACATCCTTAGGTGGGAGATAAAGTAGTGTTTTCTCTTTGTGTGTGTGTGTGTCCACCCCTGGACAAAGGGTTTTCCACCGCCACTCTTTT